AGACCAGAAGGGCAGAGATTCGGGGGGTGGGGGAGAGATATGCGATTGGGAGAATTAGAGACAATCACTTAACTTTACTTAGGCTCAGGCTGGAAAGGACTAAGTCCAGAATGGCCTGGTTTGGCTTGAATTCTCAGCTAAGGATTTCAAGTAGAAATATATTGACTGGGAACAGATTAACGAAGTTGGAAGGGATCTTGTAGGTCATCTAGTCCAGTGGTCTCCAACCTTGGCAACTTTAAGATCTGTGGACTTCAACTCCCAGAGTTCTGGAGTTGAAGTCCACAAGTCTTAAAGTTGCCAAGGTTGGAGACCACTGATCTAGTCCAACTCCCCAGCAGACCCTACACCATTTTTGACAGATGGCAGTCTCTTCTTGAAAGCTACCAGTGATGAAGCTCCCACAACTTCTGAAGGCAAGCTGTTCCATTAGTTGATTGCTCTCACTGTCAAAGAATTTCTCCTTATTTCCAGGTTGAATCTCTTGGTTTTTTTGTTCAGTTTCCATCCATTATTCCTTGTCTGGCCTTCATTATTCCTTTGGAAAATAGCTTGACACGCTCCTCTCTGTGGCAGCCCCCCAAATATTGGAACACTGCTATCATGTCTCCCCTGATCCTTCTCTTCAGTAGATTAGCCATGCCCAGTTCCTGCAACCATTCATTGTATGCTTTAGCCTCCAGTGCTCTTCTCTGCACTCTTTCTAGAGTCTCAAATTCTTTTTATAGTGTGGTGACCAAAACTGGGTGTGGTCTTACTAAGGCTTTATAGAGTGGTATTAGTACCTACTTTGATCTTGATTCAGTGGTGAGTTGCAGGCATACCAGGAGCACCAGGTACCATTCCGGCACGGTGATCCGGAGGGCCCACCTGCCCACCCGCTGTCCTTTCCTGTATTTGAGCTCAGGGGCGCTTTTGCGAATGGAGTGTACGGCGCCTGCGTGATGCTCGGCCAAGCAGCTGGAGTATTGCGGAGGCATCGTGAAGCATCACAGGAGGTAAGGATGCATGCACATGCTGCGTGTGTGCGAGCACATGCTGTGCACATTCATGTGGTGGACACCAGGCCCCGTTGCATTGAACTGGTTGCACTGGGATCCGGAACCCACCACTGTCTTGATTGTATCCCTCTGTTAATACAATTTAGGATTGCACTGGCTTTTTTGGCTGCTGCCGCACAGTTAGCTCATATTTAATTGGTTGTCCACTAAGACTCCAAAGCCCTCTCACAGTTTCTGCTATTAAGCCTGGTTTCACCCAGTCTATATGTGTACTTTTTGCTTTTGTTGCCTAAGTGTAAGACTTTACTTTTCTCTACATTGAATTTAATTTTGTTAGATAGGACCTAGTGTTCAAGTCTGTCAAGATCCATGTGGATCCTGAGCCTATCATTTAGGGTGTTGGCTATTTCTGCCAGTTTAGTATCATTTGCAAATGTGGTAAGTTCCCCTTCTGTTCCCTCATCTAAGTCATTTATAAAGATATTGAAGAGTACTGGGGCTAAGACAGAACCAAATGCAAAGAATGGATTAAGCAGCTCTGCTTTCTCTCTGCCACCTGTTACTTCTTTGTCGTGTTCTCTCTTTAGTGGACTGACTGTTTCCTTGATTTTTTTTCTTGTTATTTATATGTTGGTAGAAACAATTTTAAAAATTAGCTTTGACTTTTGTTGCAAGTCTTTGTTCATTATGAGCCCTTGCTTTCCTGACTTAATCTTTGCAGTGATTTTTGATTTGATTTTGATTTATTTATTTATAGGCCGCCCTTTTCCCTGAGGGGACTCAGGGCGGCTTACAATCAAAAAGGAAGGGGAGTGTAGGACAATANTTCTTCTTCTTCTTCTTCTTCTTCTTCTTCTTCTTCTTCTTCTTCTTCTTCTTCTTTCTTCTTTTGCTGAACTAACATCTCTCTCAAAGGGGGCAGAATGTCAGATCTGCTTGGCTTAGCTTGGCATCGCGCAGGCATTCTGCCATCAAAAACTGAAAAAAGGGTGTGGATAGAAGGGCAATAAAGCTGTGTGGGTATGTGATGGGAAATCAGGAGAGGGGAATGACAGATGATAAAGATCAGAGCAGCTGGATCTAGTTTGTACCAGCAACCCAAGGCCAGGCACCCTGAGAAAATATGCGGACTACCCCCAAACATCTCAGTGTTCTCAAAACATTTTGGTAAGCTCCAGTTGGCTGGAAATGGAATGGTGTCGCATTGTGATTGTAGTAAGTGGGCTGACTAGTCGTAAGTCACTTTTACTGTTGTTACTTTAATCACTAAACAAAGGGTCGTAAGCTGAGGACAACCTATATAGTTTTTGCCCCCTAGAAACTGATGAAGGAATCATCTCAACAAAGAAACTCGCTGTTTCCAGAAACCTAAGAGTTGGATGAAGCCTATTTAAACAACTAAGTCCAGTTTAATACAGGATCCAAATTAAAGTTTATAGTTTTAATGCTTTTTGTGCAATGTTCAGAATTGTTCAGCATTGGGTGGCACATAAACTAAAGCCAAACTTGATAGTCATGCCCTGCCTTTGCTTAAATATACCTTCTAAAAAGGATTCTACCAACTTTCTCAGTAATCACTTCCATGGTTTAACATAATTATTACCATTAAAAACCAATTTTCAGGCAAAATTTTCATTGTTTGTTCCACATTCTCATGCGATATGGAATAGATCTTGCTTTCTTCTATGTGACATCCTGTCCAGTATGATTGGTCACATATCCCCTCAATCATCTTTCCTCAAATTTAAACATTTATCTAAAAATCTCCTTAATTTATCAAGATTAATTTTCCAGAATCCTGATCACTCTTGTTCTTTCCAACTGCATCTTTAAAATCTGGAACTGAATGCAGCAGTTGCGGGGGTGGTGGTGGTGGTGGTGGTGGTGTCTATGAACTATTGCTTTCTCAACTTGGAAACAATTTCTGCTAATGCAAACTAACATTACAACTGCCTTTTTGGCTGCCCCATCACTGCTGAGTCATTTTCATCTTGAGACTCGCTATAAATTAAAAATCCCTTTGACATCAATTATTAGAGCCAAGTATTTTTATCTTCTATCATATGAAAATGATATACAGTAGCTTCTGTACTATGACTAGAAGAGGCCACGTATTGCTTGAAAAGGTCTCTTTTTCCATCTTAATGTTTAAATGACACTGATTTTACTTTTAAAACCTTATTTCTTGGATTAAGAAATTTGAAATATGCAGACATGTGTGTGTGAGGGAGAGAGAATCATCAACTTTCATCATGATTCTCACCTAATAGCAAAGGATTCTGAGATTCTAACAGATACAGTAGAATAATTGTTAAGAGATTTAGTTTCAAGCCAAAGTTAGTATCTTCTTAATTAGGGTACCATGATTTTAACTCTCTCTCTCTCTCATATATATATATATATATATATATATATATA